ATATTGTGTGATGGGAGAGAGGTCATAAATAGAGGCACTGGGAGCTGGCCATGTGTAATCCAACAGATGAACCATGCACTATTTTTCTTACATAATCTAATTTATGTAATTTAAAGCTGATTTAGTGGGTCAGAGGATGTAGGTCAGTTGGTATAGTACTTGCATAGCATATACACAGCCTGTGTTTGATCTGAAGTGTCACAGCCCACCTGTAATTCTAGCACTTGAGAGGCAGAGGCAGGAGGGTCAGAAGTTCAAGGTCACTATTGGCTATACTAGAATCTGAGGAGAGCCTAGGTTACTGGGAGACTAACTCAAGGAAAAAAAAAAAGGATATTTCTTTTAAAGACACTCTTCTCTCACATTTTTTTAGTCCTTTGAGGGGGGAATGGTGGCACAGATGTCAAAGAACAACTTGCAGGTGTGTGTTTCAGGGATTGAACTCAGGTCAGCAGTCTTGGTAGCAAACACTTTTACCCACTAATCCATCTTGCTGCCCTTCTTGAAGACACTCTTAAAACAGGAACTCAGAATCTGTTATGCTTGTAATACTTTAATTCATCATGCTGTCTTAATGTCAAGGTACCTTACCCTTGACAAGAATTCAGTTTTGTTTTTAGACAAACAGGTCACTCCCAACACCCTTAATAAACAGATTTATATAATATTAACTTGGAAAACTGATGACAATATCAAGAACTGTCACAAATAAGTTTGGATGCCCTGAGAACTTTTTACACACTGTGACTGTTGGAAATGGAAACACACTGGGTACTGCTTCTTATGAGTTTTCAGTATTCCCTATAGCAAGATTAGTATTATATTTATATTAGTCCATATATGAGGTCAAATAAACCATTTCATACAAGTATATGATGTCTAATAATTAAATGAGGCCATTAGAATGTCTATTACCTGAGACAGATACCATTTCCTTGTACTGCGAATGTTCAAAATTATATCTACTAACTCTTATGAAATATGTAACTAGTTTCTATCGACTGTTGTAGAATATTATTTTAAGGTGCATTGCCTTTTTATGCTGAGGAACATTTGTTTTAATGATGCAAAGATTTGTTGCATTCTTTTATGTTGCATTTGTTTACGTCTGTGATTCTTTGCCTGTCTAAAACACCTGATGGTCTAATAAAGTACTGAACAGCCAACAGCAAGGCAGAAGAGACAATAGGTGGTGCTGACATGCAGAGAGAATAAATAAAATGACAAATCTGGGGAAAGGAGGAGAAGGAGGAAAAGATGGAGGAGGACTCCTGGAGCCAGCCACTCAGCCAGCCATGCTGTAAGAGTGAAAGTATGATACACAGAAGCAAGAAAAGGAAAAGGCCCAAAAGCAAAAGGTAGATGGGATAATTTAAGTTTAGAAAAGCTGGCTAGAAGCAAACCAAGCTAATGTCGGACATTCATTAATAATAATTAGCCTACAAGTGTGTGTTTACTTAGGAGCTGAGAGTGGTCCCCCAATGAGTAAAGAGACAAAAAGTAAAATAACAACCAAATATAATCTACCATAGCTATTTTGTGGTAAAAAAAAAAAGAATAGTAGAGGCTATTCTTAGGTTATTCTTGTTATCCAACTAAACCCTACAGCCATGCTCCCTTTCTACACACCCTTCCCAGACTCAAGTACTTTGTCATCTCTTCCAGGCATGCATGTGATATTTCCTAGGAGACTTGTTATTAGTAGCAAATGCCTAGTTTGCATATGATTACTGTGTTTAAAAATGTATAGGGCTGGGCAGATGCCTCCATTGATAAAGTATTGTCCATGCAAGCATGAAGACCAGGGTTTAGACTCATGTAACAGCTAGATTGGAGAGGCAGCCCACCCAAAAGCCCAACACTAGGGATGCAGAAACAGGGGATTGAGGAGAACTGGCTAGCTAGACTAGTGCAATCAGCCAGCTCTGGGTTTATAGAGAGAGAACTAGGAAGACATCCATCATCTACTTCAAGCTTTATTCATACACGCACGCACGCATGTACAAACGCGTGCGTGTAAACACGTATACTATACCACACACATGTGAAAATATGTTTCAATATATAATTAATGGATTTATTAAAGAAGCCCCCTGAGAAGGAATGTATACTTTATGTAAATGCTAGAGGATAGAATCTGGATGTTTTTATCCCACCTGTTATGCATGCTTGTCTAGAGAAGTTAGCTAGTCCACGCCCATCCAATTTCACTCAATGCCTCAGAGTTCACAAGTTCAGGTGGCCTAGGATAAGGATAGGCTGTATGTAAGATTCCTTTTTTATCTTATCTCATCTATCCATCCTCACTATACTGTACTCTAAGAGCATGTGAGAATTTAATCAAGGAAGAAAATCATCAGAGTAGAGTAGTAAAAGCTGTTCTGAGGTAATCAGACACAAACACGTTGAAGCAATTCAGAGAAAGTTGATGAAGGCAACATGGATCAGGAAAAGGGATAAATCTGAGAAATACAAATTGGAAAATTGAATTGGCTTCTATTATGGTGAGGGTATGAAGAATTCAGGGAGAAGGAGAAGGGAGATGAGAGATCAATATTAAAGAGAAAAGGATGGTAGATTGGGTTTTGGTCACCTTTTCTTGTTGCTGTTCAGTCCTGAGCTGGGTGCATGTCTCACCCACCCTGAAATCAGGCAACAGAAAGAACTTCTGTCCAAGATGGATAATACTGAACAGTATGTATCAAAAAAGCTATGAAGGGAGCTGGGAGCTCTGAGGTCTGCATGTGGTGGGGGTGCAGGAAGGGACATGATACATGGACCCAGGAAAAGCATCCAGTATCAGACAGGCTTCCCCTACACTCTACATAGAATCAATTATTCTCTGCTTCCCATTCCTCCAACTTAATAGAGCTTCTGTCACTCAGTATCACACTGCTTCATAACTATTTATCTCCCTCCTCTCTTTGGGTCAAGGACTAAGTTTTATTTGTATTTAATTTTCTCATATTTTGTGCAGTGTCTGATACCAAGCAAATCCTCAGCAGATGTCAGACTGAATCAGTGCCTAAGCAAACCAAGGGCTACAGCATTTCGGGAAGGAAGCAGATGGGGGAGGCTGGCAGTCTGAACCCACAGGGCATCACAGGCCACTAGGGAGTTTTTTTTCATGGTACTACCAGATGCCAAAGGGACATTTTCCTATCTTTCTTTGATTAATGTGTGTGAATGGTTGCTTGAATGTATGCAATTGCACCATGTGAATGCAGTGCTTACAGAGGCCAGCAGGGGGCATTATTGTATGAGGTATTGATTGGCACTTGCACTTTTAAGTTGAGTATACATTTTTTGAAGGGATTCTACAGTTTGGTGTATGATCACCTACATTGACAAAATGGGCAGTAGTATTTTCCCATGCCTCTAATTTATGTGTTTGTGCTATGATAATGGTTTAGATAGCAGCTCAATAAATTGATCTTATAAATTACACCAAACCTTTGCACAATCATTTCAGAGAACCAATGAGGTCCTATATCACCCAGTGTGGTGTTCCAACAGTATTTCTGTGTTTGCTTAGCATGCTGCTAGATTTTCATGTAATTAGACAGCTCTTTATTTCTCAGATTGACCAACAGCATGATAAGTTTTACTTCACATGGTTAGCTGTGGATGATTAATTGTGTGACTGTTAGCAAATCATTTAAAGTCCCTAAGCCTCTGTTTCTCTTTCCGTGAATTAGGGATTAATGATACCTACTTCAGACATTTGTTATGAGAATAATCACTAATGCTTTGAAAAGAAAAGCATCTGGATATCAGACAAATACAGACTTACATACTAGCTCCATCACTATTTGCATTAATCACTGGTTGTATGAGGACTTCATTCCCCAGTCAATAAAATGGCAGGGGTAATTCTAATACAGTTTTTTTTTTTTTTTTGAGACAGGGTTTCTCTGTATTGCTTTGGAGCCTGTCCTGGCACTCACTCTGTAGACCGGGCTGGCCTTGAACTCAGAGATCTGCCTGCCTCTGCCTCCTGAGTGCATGGAATAAAGGCCTGTGCCACCAACACCAGCCTCTAATATACCTTTTACTGATGTCTTTCTTATATTAGAATGTCTAAATGAAACCAGGTAGGTTTGATAACGTGACTGGAAGGCTTAGAGATTCAGTCCTACCTATAATCCAGATACACATCTCTTAGTGATGGACTACACTCACTAGACACAGCCAAATGTGGTTAATGACACCCTAGAAACATAGCCCTAAATGATGGAGTACAAGCCTAACACATCTGAAATGTTATGGTACAGCAGAGACAAAGCCAACTATGATAAAAGAAGAATACTTACCCCTCCAGATAACACTATTGCATTGACATGATGTTGACATGGTTCTTATTGACATAGATGGATGTAATTTAGAAGTAGTAAGAACAGAAGCACTATGAGGAACTGGTCACAGGGTGACTCTTCCCTATTGGCTCTTATCTCATCAAACAAGGATAATTCCTTACTCTTTGAAATATATATATATATATATATATATATATATATATATATATATGCAGAAAGCCAATAAATTATTATACAATAGAAAACATTAGATTGCAATCTTGAAGATTAGTATGTCAGGCCATAAAGATATATCTCATGTCCCATGATGTAGGGAATTAAATGCATCTGTGCATGCATGCATAGATAGATGGCTGGATGGTTGGGTGAGTAGATGGATGGATGGTTGGGGACTCTGATTTTATCAGAAATAGACAGATAACCTTTGACAAGGTAATTATTCTGGGAAGCTGTCTCCTCTCTGTAAAATGGAGAGAATAAAAGCAACTGCCTAATTATAAGAATGAAATATATTAATGCCAGTTAAGCACTGTGGTCAGGACCTAGCAGTTAATGAAAGCCCCCAGTCAGTGGCTGCAAGCTGTCATCATAAGGATCTGCATAATTATTTCTTGTGTTTGATACTCTCCAACCCAAAATACCTAAGTTGCTGCTTCTAAGACATCTGTGTTCTCTGTCTTACAGGACAACAGGTCCTGGGCTTGGTAGAGAACCAGAGTGATTGGTATCTTGGAAATCTCTGGAAAAATCACCGTCCATGGCCAGCCCTTGGAAGGGGCTACAATACAGGTAAATAATAAGGGCAGTATGAGTGGGGGGCCACAGAGAGTGATGCATAAATTCATTGTTACTTCCAAAAAGAACACATTGCTATTGATATGATGCTTACTTTCAAAAGATGTATTCACTGTTTCTTTCTGTTTTTTTTTTTTTTTTTCAGAATTAAAACTTGGGGCTCAAGTTCTGTAACAGGCTTTCTTGAACTATCAATCATGAAGCAAATTCTTATTCTTAGTTATGATCTTTTGGCCTTATCTTACAATTGTCCCACTAGCTCTTACAACTTAACCAGTTTCCCTTTATTTACATTTTTCCTTGGGGCTTTTTACCTTTCTTTCATTCAGTATATCCTACTTTTCTTGCTTTTTCCATGTCTGTCTGGCTGGCAGATGCCTTGTTCTCTCTTCTCTAGAGCCTAGTTTCCTCCCCCTACTTATTGTCTCTGCTCACCAGCCCGGCCTATCCCTCCTCTGCCTAGCTATTGGCCATTCACCTTTTGATTAGACCAATGAGGTAGGTAAAGCATCTTTATATTGTTAAGCAAGCAAATACAGCATAAACAAATGTAACACATCTTTATATAGTTGAACAAATGCAGCATAAATGTAGCATGTCTTTACATAGTTAAAATAATATTCCACAATAAAACCACAAAATGGGCTTGTTCTTTTGAGAACCACAGCTATGCTGAGTTAGGTTAGATGTCTAGGAACTGCACCACCTGAAGATGCTTCATAGACAGATCCTAGAGTCTGACCTCAGGTTCTAGAAGGGAAAAAAAGACAGAAAATCAACCATGAGACCTAATGATCCAGCTCCACAGAATTCAGAGTTGAACATGGGGTCCCTGGATCCAAAGGAAGAAGCATGTGACCAAACATCTGAAGGTGGAAGTTCAGAAATGAACCCTAATGAAGTACAGTTTGACCTTTAGTTTCCATGACTATTGAAACAAACCTGAAATCAATACACAGAGTAGGCATTATAACTATAAGACAAGGAAAGTCAAGCATCAGTGTCCTGAACAGCCAGATGTCCAGAAAGGGAGCCTATGTTGAAGGCTATCCTTGGAGAAGAGTGACACTCCATTGCTGACAGTTTCCAGGTCATCAGGTCTACTGTGCTTCACTTGCCTCCTAGACATAACCATTATTGCAGCTGAATTTATTCATGCTCAACACCCCCTCACAGACCCAGAGCTTGTCCTTTCCTGCTGAACTGGGCATTACCCTGTAGTTTGTAGATAATAGAGGAATCTGAGGACTCTGAGAAGGTGAATGATGAGGAAGTGGAGGTAAGGAGGACCAGAGTAGCCCCAGACTAGAAATTTCTAAATTTCAGTAATAGGCAAGACCATCTTCTTACCTGGTAGGTGTTGGTCAGATGTTGATGTAGGTGCCAACTTGGGTTAATATTATAGGATCCTCATGCTATGTTTTATCTGTTCTAGAGAAAATTAATAGTGATTTAAAGAGTGCAACATTAATTATGCCTGCAAGGTTAGCTACTAACCTTTTTGTCTCAAACTTGAATGGCTTCATGATCAAATACTTTTTGTTTGGATTTGATTTTAAATTTTTGAGACAAGAGACTTAATACATAGCCTAGGTGTCTCGAGCCCTTACCAGGTTTTGACCTGGGAGGAATGACAAACTCAGCCAGTTGGTTTTGGGTATATAAGTTTTACTTCACACTTATGTCAAGCATAAGCAAACAATCCTAAGAACCACAGACAATAGGCTCACAGCAGGAGGTACCTCTCCTGCAGTGGCCCACAGGTTCAGGCTCTGCTCCTCTTGATTCAGGCCAGCAAGTCTCCTGAGGACCCGGTGTCCTGGAATCAGGCTCAGAACGAGTGGGCAGCATGCAGATTGATGGACTTTTTTCTGTTTTATTTAATTTTTTTCTGTTTTATTTAATTTTTACAAAATTATAATTTCACATGTTGATCCCTTCTCCTTCTCCACCCGACCCCCAAACACCCAACCCTTCATGTGGGATGGGATCTCAAAGTACCTTCTTAGACCAGGGAAAAATACTGATCCACTACCAGAGGCCCCATAGGGTTCCAAGGCCTCCTCGTTGATATCCACTTTCAGGAGTCTGGATCAGAAGTCTAGGGTCCATGTGCTCCCCTTGTTCAGGTCAGCTCTTACTGTGGGTTTCACCAGCCTGGTCCATACCCCTTTGATCTTCACTTCTCCCTCTCTGCAACTGGGTTCCAGAGTTCAGTTCAGTGTATAGCTGTGGGTGTCTGCCTCTGCTTCCATCAGCCCCTGGATGAGGTCTCTAGGATAGCATATAAAGTAGTCATCAGTCTCATTATAGGGGAAGGGCATTGAGGGTAGCCTCTCCACCATTGCCTAGATTTTCAGTTGGTGTCATCCTTGTAAATCAATGGAAATCTCCCTAGGGCCAGATCTCTCCTCGGACCTATAATGGCTCCCTCTGTTATGATACCTCTCATTCTGCTCTCCTCTATTCTTTCCCCAACTCAGCCTTTCAGCTCCTCTATTTCCTCCTCTCCCCTCCTCTTCTCCTCCTCACATTCTCCCAGCTCCTTCCCCCTAAACTCATGCTCCCAAATAGGTTAGGAGATACTGGCCATTCCCATTCTCCAAGGACCATGCGTTTTTCTCTAGAGTCCTTCTTGTTTCCTACTTTCTTTGGTGAAGAGGACTGTTATACTTTGCACTATGTCTAAAATTCATATATGAGTGAATACATACCATGTTTGTCTTTTTGTGACTGTGTTACCTCATTCAGGATGATTTCTTCTAGTTCCATCCACTTGCCTGCAAATTTCAAGATTCCATTGCTTTTTTCTGCTGAGTAGTACTCCATTGTGTAAATATATCACATTTTCTCTATCCATTCTTCAGTTGAGGGGAATATAGGTTGCTTCCAGGTTCTGGCTATTATAAACAACACTGCTATAAATATGATTGAACTTATGTCCTTGTTGTATGAACGTGCATTATTTGGGTATATGTCCAAGAGGGGAATTGCTGGATCTTGAGGTAGACTGATTCACATTTTCCTGAGAAACCACCATACTAATTTCCAGAGAGCTCTTAAAAGTTTGCACTCCCACCAGGAATGGAGGAGTGTTCCTTTTTCTTCACATCCTCTCCAGCATAGATTATCCTTGGTATTTTTTATTTTAGCCATCCTGGCCAGTGTAAGATGGATTGTTTTGAGTTGCATTTCTCTGATGGCTTAGGATTTTGAGCACTCTCTTAAATTTCTTTTAGCCATTTTAGATTCTTCTGTTGAGAATTTTCTATTTAATTCTGCGCCCCACTTTTTAATTTCATTGATTGGTGTTTAGGTGTCTAGCTTCTTCAGTTCATTGTATATTTTGGAAATCAGCACTCTCTCAGATGAGGGGTTGGTGAAGATCTTCTCCCATTCTGTGGGCTGTAGTTTTGTCTTATTGACTGTGTCCTTTGCCTTACAGAAGCTTCTCAGTTTCAGGAGGTCCCATTTATTAATTGTAGATCTCAATGTCTGTGCTACTGGTGGTATATTCAGGAAGCAGTCTCCTGTACCAATACATTCAATGGCATCTCCCACTTTCTCTTCTAGAAGATTCAGTGTGGCTGGATTTATGTTGAGGTCTCTGAGTCATTTGGACTTAAGTTTTGTGCATGGTGACAGGTATGGATCTATCTGCAATCTTCTGCATATCTGAATCCAGCTGTGCCAGCACCATTTGTTGAAGATGCTTTTTTCCCATTGTATGAATTTAGCATCTTTGTCGAAAATCAGGTGTTCATAGGTGTGTGGGTTAATATCAGGGTTTTCAATTTGATTCCACTGGTCCATCTGTCTATTTTTGTGCCGATACCAAGCTGTTTTCAGGACTATGGCTCTATAATAGAACTTGAAGTCAGGGATGGTGATGCCTCCAGAGGTTCCTTTATCCTACAGGGTTGTTTTTGCTATCATGGGTTTGTTTTGTTTTGTTTTGTTTTTCCATATAAAGTTGAATATGGTTCTTTCAAGGTCTGTGAAAAACTGTATTGGTATTTTGAAATGGATTGCGTTGAATCTATTGATTGCTTTTGGCAAGATTACCATTTTTACTATATTGATCCTACCTATCCAAGAGCATGGGAGATTTTCCATTTTCTGGTATTTTCTTTACTTTCTTTTTTTGCCTCGAAGTTCTTGTCACACAGATCTTTCACCTGTTTGGTTAGTGTTACCCCAAAATATTTCATGTTGTTGGTAGATATTGTCAAGGGTGATGTTTCTCTAGTTTCTTTCTCATTCTGTTTATCATCCGTATCTAGTAGGGCTATTGATTTTTTGAGTTAATTTTGTATCCTGCTACTTTGCTGAAGGTGTTTATCAACTGTAGAAGTTCACTGATAGAGTTTTTCGGGTCACTTATGTAGACAAATTTCATCTGCAAATAGGGAAAGTTTGACTTCTTCCTTTCCAATTTGTATCCCCTTATCTCATTTTCTTTTCTTACTGCTCTAGCTAGGACTTCAAGTAAAATATTGAAGAGATATGGAGAGAGTGGACAGCCTTGTCTTGTTCCTTATTTAAGAAGAATCACTGAGTTTCTCTCCATTTAGTTTGATGTTGGCTGTTGGTTTGCTATTAATTGCTATTATCATATTTACATGTGTTCCTGTTATTCCTGTTCTCTCCAAGATCTTTATCATGAAGGGATGCTGGTTTTGTCAAAGGCTTTTTCAGCATCTAGTGAGATGATCATGTGTTTTTTCTTTTTCAGTTTGTTTATATGGTAGATCACATTGATGGATTTTCGTATGTTGAACCATCCTTGTATCCCTGGGATGAAGGCTACTTGATCGTGGTGGTTGATTTTTCTGATGTTTTCTTGCATTCAATTCGCCAATATTTTGTTGAGTATTTTTGCATCGATTTTCATGATGGATATTGGTCTCTAGTGCTCTTTTTCAGTTGTGTTTTTGTGTGGCTTGGGTTTCAAAGTAATTGTAGCCTTGTAAAAAGAGTTTGGCAATGTCCCT